GTCACAATCTCCCGCAGTGCGCTCCTAGAGCCTGTAGGTTAGGTGGCCATATCCTGCTTGTCAGAACTTTCAACTAGATAGAACACTAGATGCTCTTTGCGTGATGTTTTGCCAATGCATGCAGTACAACAAGATGCCATATGGAGCCTTCAAATCATTATAATTGGATGAGACGGTTTCAAATAGGACCGGTTTGACAGCAAAATCCTGTAGACCCAGACGGATCATCATCGTGAATTGTTCACTCGAAATATGTTTGTGGGAGGAACCTGGCATATTGAGGTTTGCTTTGAGTTCAGAGTTGATCGAACTGATCGACTTCTTTGCGTTGACGCTTTGCCCGATTATTCGTTTCAAATTCTGGTGTCACAGAAGTGGCTTCAAACATGAACAGTTTTGGAGTCCACATCGAGTTCGCACTGACTTCTGAAATTCGGTACTTGCTATCGCTCCACGACGACCAGTACAGAGAAATAATAAGCTTTGTGTTTGCTTCCATTATTTTTCATTAAAGTGCGACAAAAAGTGGATGTTTCGAAAAACGTTCAACTCAAATCGCAATGCGAAGCAACACGTCAAAATCCCACCATCTGCTTGTTATGGCGCTTCCAGTCTTCCCGGAACCATGAGCTTTTGGCTCGAAATAAAACACATCGTACTCACACTGTAACATTCTTATGAATTCAAATCAAAATACCAAGAGAGAAATTGAATACTGAGCCCGGTCGTGTTTGCGACGTACATCCGATTGGAAACCGTCTCCTCTACAGGGTTTGCCGTATTTTTGTACAGAATCCCCACTCCCCCAATTTTCGGAGCTCAGGAAAAGAAAACAACCTAATAATCCTTCCAAACTAAAACTTGCAATTTCAAATTTAGACTTCACGGAGAATTTCAAAGTTTTTAGGAAATTAGAGGCCACATCCCACGTACTGCTCTTTTCTCTTGCAAGCCAGATATGGAAGAAAGAAAACAACATCAGTCACACCACCCGGACTCGAACCAGGGACCTTGCTTTTCGCGAGCAATGCTCTAACCAACTGAGCTACAGTATGACTCTTATCCACAGTGATGCTAAATCTATCCTTCTTCGATCAATCCATATCTGGCTTGCATCATACTGGCAACTCACACGAATCAAGAGGGCCCTCGGCCATTCGCTTGATATCATGGGGAGCGCATCAAACTATGTCCACTGTGAGCAAATACAAATTGCAATTTCAAATTTGGACTTCACGGAGAATTTCAAAGTTTTAAGGAAATTAGAGGCCACATGCCACGTACTGATCTTTTCTCTCCGAAACTTAACACTTGCAAGCCAGATATGAAAGAAAGAAAACATCATCAGTCACACCACCGGGACTCGAACCAGGGACCTTGCTATTCGCGAGCAATGCTCTCACCAACTGAGGTACAGTATGACTCCTATCCACAGTGATGGAAAATCTATCCTTCTTCGAGCAATCCATATCTGGCTTGCATCATACTGGCAACTCACATCAATCAAGAGGGCCCTTCGCCATTCGCTTGATATCATGGGGAGCGCATCAAACTATATCCACTGCGAACAAATACAAATTGCAATTTCAAATTTAGACTTCACGGAGAATTTCAAAGTTTTCAGGATATTAGAGGCCACTAAACTAAAACTTACCTGAACTTTCATTCTAGAACTAGTCGTAGACAGTAAGTCATCATAGGTGCCGATATTTACAGTAATATGCTCTCCTGGCGCTGGATATAACGTAATACGTGAGATGATCCGCCCAGATCCTTTTCCCGCTGAAGAGCTCCAGTGAATGCCACTAAAATGCGACCATGGTGCCAAGATAAGTGACCCAGAAATGATAACGTTGCTGAGGTCCCTAACATTGTTGCCGCCCATTCGCTCGGCAAGGAGTTGAAGTGCGCTGTCGGATTGTCCTGCAGACAATCTGAAGAGCAAAGGATGTAAAAACATTCATAAATTTCGTGCGGTGTGAAAGGCCTTCTGTAGTAAGCTGGAAAGTCTTTGTTTGAACGACTTCAATTTATTTTACGTATTGGAGAACTGCCGAGTGTGTGTACTTGTTTCCTCGAAAGAACTTTGAGGGTGGGCTTAGTATGGATGAGAATGTAGCACCGGAACCGTACTTTGTTTACATTCAATATTCGATTTCCATAAAGCGTAAAAATTAGTACCTTTTCCTTATGTACGTTTCCTGTAACATTTTCATACTACACCGATTTCTCTTGTATAACCAGATGTTACCGAGGTGCTTATAGCACTCTGTACTTGATTGTCCTAGCAGAATCCAGGCGGTGCTGAGTGTTAATAGTTTGCCGAGCGCATTGTTCAGGTTAGTTGCGGTGAAAATAGACCTGCTGCTAACAGCGCAATGGAGGAATTGATCCATGCCCCCGCCGACATTGACGAGTTGATTTGTCTCAACCCAAGTGGCACCGAATGTTGCACAAGACCCATTCCTTCTTGAGCCCCTCTGGTAGCTCTTGGAAGCAGGTTGGTTTTCGAGGAGAATAATCGGATCGGCTTGGATTAAGCATTTTTTACGGAAGCTCCGCTGGAGAGGCATAAGCAACACAATGACATAAGTAGCCACAGTTCTTGATGGTTTAAACAAATATCTACCAAAGCTATTGGCTTCAAACTGAGATTCTGCTTAGTCCGTCTTCACAGAAATTGAACCAGACTGCAAACATCAAGACGATCGGGTCAGAAACTATTGTCATATTTTGTAAAGAATACCCACTTGAAGGTTGAAGGTGTCTGTAATTAATCGCCTTTCTCTTTTCTCTCTCATACGGAAATGTAGTTTTTAGTTTGCTGTGGTTGATTACCGCCCTTTCTCTCATTCTCACTATTGGCAACACGGTGAACCAGCAGATGTTGTATCAATAACAACAATAACAATACGAATCATGCAGCTTATTTCACACCCCAACCTCTCCATGGCGTCTGTAGGTATTCTAGCCATTGTCTTACCGAGGGGCTGTGCTCCTTCGTATCCATTGAGCATTGTCCGATACACCTGTACTGCTTACGAATACTAGCTCCGACAGTAGACCACCCATAGGACACATTTTGACTCAGAAATTGTTGTAGATTCCCCTGTAGACACATTTTTATGGAGGACACAGCTGAAGAAAGGATCCGAAAATATACACCTATCATTGGCACTGGCCATGACATTCTGTTGAGTGTAGGCTTGTGAGGGAAATTTCTTCTGCAAACGTTTCCAGTTAGGCGTGGATGTGGTCTTCGCAAAGCAATGCTCCATTCTTTCTCAGTTTCACGCCTTGCTCAATACATTGATCCTTTATTCTTCAGTAAAAGCAATTGTGATCCTATTCTGTGTCGCCTTCACTTACGAGCTTTTTTGTACATGTACGTAAAACAGCTTTCAGAGTAAAAGTCATTATCAGCACCCGTAACCCCTCGGTGTAGGCATTTCTGTTGTATGTAATGGCTACTGAGGGTAGCAGCTAGTCGGCTGAAGAGCGCATGAAGAAGAGTAGAGGATAATTGTACATATAGTATGGAAACACCGCACAGTATCGGTCGCCGCCTCATAGTTATCAATGTGCTTCTAAAGCGTCGTGAGCACTTAAGGTCTTGCATTTTCAGCTCATACATGACCATATACATGAACATAATAAAAAATTAAATAAAAGTAAATTCGACGGGTTCGCGTGCCGGACAGGTCAAGAATAAGGAGTCGTACAACTCCCTGGTCAAGAACCACCTTTCCGCTTCCGTGGGACGCCAACACCCAATAATATACTTACCGGATTAACCCATATAATTTTGAGGCCACTTTGTTGCATGAATGTGCCAATATCCACGACAGTTGCTAGATTTCCGAGGAGATTGAGTATACCATTTTGAGAAAGTACCGGAGCGCTAATGAAAGATTTGCCTCTGCATAATAATAAGAAAAAGAGATGAAATGTAAGGATCAAGCCTTAACTGTTACCTCCACTGCCAAATACCTTGGCGTAACCATTGATGACCAGCTATCCTGGCAGCCCCATGTCTCCAGTGTTGTGCAGAAGGCGTCAGTCGCCATCAGCCAGCTATGGCGCCATGGGCGATCTCTGCCCATAAGAGCCCGCAGACTTTGGTACATTGGCATTGTGCAAGCACGACTAACGTACGCATCCAATGCATTCTTCTCGTCGCTGACACAGCAGCTGCAGAGTCGTTTAATCAAATCCAGCAAATCCGGAATTCGTGCAATTTTCCGACTCTCCAGCCGTGCATCCACAGCCCCTCTCCTCGTGCGCTTATCTATTCGATCCCTAACTCACATTTTTAACCACAAGGTTTTATTTTTTGTTTTCCGTTGCCTACATGATCTTGCAAGTCCTCTTTTCTGCACCTACTTTCAGTTGATGGCTAACACAGGCCAAGCATCCCGGGATGATCGCCGAATTACTCGAGGACAGGAGCAGCGGCTACTGCAAGTGCCTTTCCTTCCTGGACCTTCCGGTCGTCAGTCATTGACATTTGTGGGAAGCACTCTTTGGAATTCCCTTCCCAGCGATATTCGCCTCCACAGTGCGCCGTTTGCCTTTAAACTGGCTCTGAACAGAATTAATTGTAATTTGTAACCACCTTGCTCGGCATCCCTACACATTACTGCATGTTTTCTCGGTGTTTTCTTCACTGCATGCTTACACATACACACACCCATTTGAATTATATACAAACTTTGTGCTTTGGAATTATCATGATTGTTATGATTCTTTTTAATATTTCCTTCTCTCATAATATTATATTCGTTCTTAGCAGAAATCGGAGGTTTTTCCTCTGGTGAGAAGGCAGAATTGCCTGTGCTCTAAACGAATTCAAATAAAAGAAACAAACAAGATGCAATGTTCACCATTTAGATATTTTATCGCGTAAATTGTACCAAATTTAATTAAGGATCATGTCATCAAAAATTAATATGGATTTTCTTTCCGATAATTAACAAGCAGACATGCAAACATCTCTGGACATGCTCGGATTTAACAGCAAGGTTATTTGGAATTAATAATCTGTCTTCGGTCCTCGTCGATCCACGATCGTGACAAAGCCACAAACGAATGATTCGATACAAAAAGTGACTGCCAGCCTCGAATACCACCTGATCGTTTTGAGAAACGAACGTTCTGTAAAATATATTGATGCTTTTTCGTGCCTACAGCGAAGACTTCAGTAACAGTGATGTTGCTACTCTTCAGATGGTTAAGAGGGGCAACGGTGTGGTGTGTTGGTTGATAAGAATCTTCAGATGTTGTTCGATTATGTCAATTGATGTGGTTAAAGGGCGCCCGCTTAATTCGTCCATGTTCTAAGTGTGAGTCCAATTCCTATTCCTTTCCGGGCTTGGCCCCGGGTTATCTCTCTCTTTTTCCCTCTCTATTGCTACCAACAATACAAATAGAATTTTGATGCTATTTTCAGTAGGTCCGTAAAATAGTAGTGGCAGATTTCTTTCTCGTGAACAGACAAGACCAGACGACGCTTGCAAACACCAGCACTAACACTGCACCAGTCACACTCCACAACAGCTACTTATGAAGTAGAAGTTTATCCTTACAAGCTTTGTTTCGTTGGCAATAATTATGATGACGGGTACTCATCAGAGGAGAAGCAGATATTGAATGAAATGGGTCAAGATATTAGCGCAATGCTTGTACACTCAACAAACTATCATGTGTGACAAATAAACATAATACTAATATGCTATTATTCCACGATGGAGTGACGTCAATAAGGACAATTGATAAGTGTGATAGAACTGATACTAACCAGAAACAGCTAGATGGAAATTACCCGGGGAGGCAAGAAGCAATGGATGATGAAAAACAAGCGGGGCAATAACATTAGTAGGGGTGATCGAGGTAGTTGAATACACGTTCGAGATATCAGAAACCCGGGGATGCGCGGAGCAGGAACAGGTCTTGCTCAAAAGAAGACTGGATGTATTGTTTCGGAAAGAATTTCTACGATGTTGAGTTTTGATGTCGATAGGGACAGAGTTGTAGAGGGTAAGAGCACTGTTGATGGGAAAATCTCGGTGCCTGTTTGCGTGTGCGTGTCCGATGGAGTAGGTGCTTGTCTGTCGAAGGGTGTGTGGCTGATGTTGACGTTGTGGTGCAACATGTGGTTGATGCAGGTGTGGTGGGGAGGTTTGGTGGTGAATGACACATGCTACAGTACTAGGACTTGTTTAACAAGGAGTCATCAGCTAAGGGTGGGAAGCTTTGCGTGATGGAGGAGGGAACTGTGGTTAACTGGTGCAAAGAGGGAAATCCGAAGGCAGATGCGTATAGCACGGCGTTGAATTCTCTCCAGTGTGTCCTGTTGTTGCTGTGTGGTGTTGGAGAGGGCATGGTTGCCATATTCGAGAACGGGTCGGATGTATGTCGTGTATATTAATCATAGGCTGGAAGCGTTCATTGCGCCATGTGTCTTCTGGAGTTGGTGGAGACCTGTTTTGGCTTTGTTAGTGGGTTCTATGATGTTTTGGGTCCATCGCATATCGTCTTGGAGTGCAACACCAAGGTGCCTATGTTGGTGGACCTGCTGCAGCAGAGTCAAGTGGAGCGTTATGTGGATGGTGGGTTGGGGTAGGAAGGAAAGGACGACGGCTTTCGTGGTGTTGACGAGGAGATGCCAATCCTTCAACCTACGTCCTGCTGTGTCCAAGGCACGTTGGAGAAATGCAGCTGACAAATCCCCGCGTGTAATGCGTCACGATGAGGGCCGTGTCATCGGCGAACTGGCTGCATTTGGTGTGAGAGTTTGTACATGCTGGAGGAGGTCGATCGTGTACACCAGAAAAAGAAGAGAGTCAAGGACAGAGCCCTGGGGTACTCCAGTAGGAATGGATTTCCTCGATGCCAAATTAGAGCCAACCTTGACGCGTTGTGAGCGGCGAGTCAGGTAGCTTGTGAGCCAGGTAAGGGCAATTCCACGGATACCAAGTTTGGCCAGGAGGCCCGCATGCCAAACGCGGTCAAAAGCCTTTGATAAGTCAAAGAAGCATGCCGATACTGCCTGACTGGCATCTCAGCTGGAGGAAATCTCGTGCACTAGGTGGGAGAGCTGTAGTTCAGTACTATCCTTACATCGAAATCCAGATTGGTCGGCTGGTAGGTTGTGCTCAATGTGGGTGTAGAGACGTTGTTGAGCAATTCTCTCCTGAACCTTGCTGACAATGCTCAGGAGTGAGATTGTAGTAGTTAGTGATCTCTGCACCAGAGGCTTTCTTGTGTAGAGGACTGAGAGTGGCGTCGCGCCAGTCCGGTGGCTGCTCGCCTGGCGAGAAGGACTTATTGAAAAGCGTTGCGAGGCAGCACGATTATTTCGTCTGCAGTGATCTTAAGCAATTTTCCGGAATGCCATCGTACCCAGCAGACTTCCGGAAATCAAGAGCGGAAAGGAGTTTTCTGACCTCCTCCTGGGTGGTGATGATTTCCTTCAGTTCGCTTCCGATGATGCGCGATACGGCTACCTCTGGTGCGGCTTCAGTTGGTCCGAAGACGGACTTCTGGCTTTCCGAAATGAAAAAAAATGTTTAAAAACGCTTGCGCCTTTTCTCCATCGGATCTAGCCACTGTTTCGTTTGCTGAAATAGGTGGAAGCTCATTTTCGGGGACGACGGCAGTGATTTCATTAACTTGCACAGGTTTCGCTGCGGGACACCAGTTACGTCGCCTTGCGCGGTAGTGGATACAAAGGCGGATTTAGCTTCTCTCAGTTGTATTGTGGTCCTATTGCGGTGAGTAATGAACGCGAGCCAGTTCTGGGCGCTGCGAGTTCTGAGATATTGACGGAGCTGATGCTTGAGTTAAATGCTGCTAATAAGCTGCCGAGTCATCCATGGTCGCCGACCTGGGCGAGAATGGTGTGTACGTCGTGGTGCGAAGTTAGTACTGTACGCGTGTGCTGTGTTGATAAGCGAGTCATGCCAATGCGACCAGAGGTCAGACATTGATAGTTGCGGAATTTCTTTATCCGGTTGCAAAATTTGTATTGAACCCAGGGCTTCTTTCAGTGCGACGACGTGATTAGGGTCCAAGTTCCAGCGCCAAGTTTCGACGTTTTGCTGGGGTGTTGGTGCTTGTGGTGGGCACGCAATGGACACATGTCTTCCGAAGAGTACATGATCTGACGCTCTGAAAGGGGAATACGATGTGCTCCTCACCTGATGTATGGCATCGCTGTAACGGAGACAAAATTTTCAACCGCAAAGGTCACTGACAGTGATGTCTGTCTGTCCGGAAACGCTCCCTCCCCCAAACCGACATGACAGAAACGCTCATGGAGGCGGAGTTGCCATTTGGGTGCGATCAAACATGTCTTACCAGCACCTGGACCGGTCAGCACGAAACATCACGGAGTGATATTATTATTCTTTTATTCCATGATGGCGTGACGCCAATAAGGATGATTAATAAGTGCGATAGAACTGGTACTAGCCAGAAACAGCTAGATGGAAATTAACCAGGAGGCAAGAAGCAATGGATCTTGAAAAACAAGCGGGGGCAATAACGTTAGCAGGGGTGATCGAGATAGTTAAGTACACGTTCGAGATATCAGAAACCAGGGTGATGCGCGGAGCAGGAGCAGGTACTGCTCAAAAGAAGACTGGATGCATTGTTTCGGAAAGAATTTCTACGAGGTTGGGTTGTGATGTCGATAGGGAGTGAGTTGTAGAGGGTGAGGGCACTGTTGATGGGGGAATCTCAGTGCCTGTTCGTGTGTGCGTGTCCGATGGAGTAGGTCCTTGTCTGTCGAAGGGTGTATGGTTGGTGTTGACGTTGTGGTGCAAGATGTGGTTGTTGCAGGTGTGGTATGAATATCTGTATCAACAGCTAGCCGGCCCATGATTGTTATCTGTGCACTCTAGCGATCAGGCTCTACAGACGGGACAGACACCGAGCTGATCGAACACCTTAATACCCACCTAGATGAGGCCCGCATCCATGGTGATTATGTTATCCTCGCAGGGGACTTCAATGTCCACAAAAACGGACCACAATGCAGCATAGCTAGGGAGCACCAATACTACCTGGACCGGGGAAGCAGCCAAGTAACTCTGCTATGTTCATTGCCTGGAGCAACATGTCAACATCCCCACACGTGGAGACAACACCCTGGACCTTGTCATGTCTGACTTCAGTGAACCGGTTTAGGTGAATGCCATGCCCCACTGGGGTCTTCTGACCACGCTGTCGTCACCATGGACTTCCTTATCTCTGCGTTCCGTGAACCAAAAACCACACGCACTTCCTGGCGGTGCAACCAAGCAGACTGGAACCGCCTTTGTCACTTTTTCCTAGCCTATGACTGGTCAACTGCGTTCACCACCAGCGCTGATGAGTGGTGTGCCAACATCACCGAAATTATCCTCCAGGGCATGTCAAGTTTCATCCAATCCCGACAACTCACATCCCGGCCGACAAATCCAGCTTGGTGGACCCCTGAGTGCACTGATGCCATAAAAGCGAAAGAGAGGGCTTAGGCTACTGCCAGACGGCGGAAGTCAACAGCACCGCGGCAGGCACTCTAATCCGCGTCAAATGTGTTGTCGGTTATCAATCATGTTACAGGGCGAAGCCGTCAACACCAGGAGACCGCATGCACTATGGATGCGGTAACGACCGCGTTCCACAAGGTTATCACGGACACCAGCCGGCCGCAAAGTCTCCAGATACCAAGCGGACCACCCCCACAGCAATGTCTCATCTCCTTCCCGCTGGTTACTGTCAGGGAAGTTGAGCGGTTACTACAATCAATCAACACGACCAAGGCCACAGGAAGTGACGACATGCCCGGTTTTGCACAACAGCTGTCAGCCAGCTGTCGATCAAGGCACTTGCAAGACAGCGCATTTTCACACCTTGCAGTTGACAGCGAAGTGGAAAGTACAGTTTCGCACCTGACTGAACCTGAGATTGACTCCTACCTATCTCCAACCCAGAGCGCTTCCCGTCCGGGTCGGAGTACCGCGGATATTGTCTGTTGTGGCCGGTGGCTGGCAGCCAAGACTGAACGATTCAAGTGGCAATGTACGGTCCTCGGAATGGATATGAGCAAGGCGCTCGACACAGTGCAGCGGGGATGATTGGTGGAGGTAATGAAACAAATAGTTAACACAGATGAGGTACGAATGGTGGAGATGTTGTTGCACGACACAAGGCTAAGAGTGAAGATAAAAAATGCGCTCTCGGCAGAATTTCCAACATCAACAGGCATCCCGCAAGGAAGAAAATAGTTCGTCGCCGGTGCTATTCACCTGTTATCTCGAAGCGACAATGCACTGCCTGCGTCCCAGGATATCGCCAAGACCTACCATACTTAATATTGGAGGGTCAGCGTACACGACTGTCGATATGTCCATACCTTGCGAAACGGCATACATGGATGACGTTAACCTGTGCTCCATGGACCGTCAACATCTAGCGTGCGCACTAACAGAGGCAAATGTAGTGTTCAAAGAGTGGAACCTCAACATCACCCCTACCAAGACCGATCGGACCCATCTATACCAAGAAGAGGATGTTGAAAGAAGAGGTGAGGAACGATGGAGGTCCACCCGGTTGCTTGGTTCACTGTACGGAGTAACAGAAGACCTGAAACGCCGGCGCCAGCAAGCCGCAGCTGCCTTCAACACACTTGTCAACCTGTGGATGCGGAGACAAGTTATCTCTGAAGCCACCCGCCTGAGGTTGTTTGATGCATTTGTGCTATCTATTTGGACCTACAACTGTGGCGTGTGGGTGCTTTCATCCCGGGATGCTACAGCAATGCCTGCGTTCCACAGAAAGCAGCTCCGCCGTCTATTAGGCATATCTTACCCGGAAATTATCTCCAACACAGACCAGCTGCAATGCCGAGCCAATATCAGTACTAAGCAGAAGAGCACGGTGGAAACTGTTTGGTCATATTCTACGCATTCCTGAAGCAACTCCAGCGCAGGTGAGCATAACAGCGTATTTCCAGCGACAGAACCGGGCTGGCTCGGACGCCCGCGCATCACCCTACCAGTGGTGATAGACAACAAATTAGCCAAGGTAAAGTCCATGCGTCTCCGGAGTCTGAAGGACCTGGAGAAACTGCGATTGGTGGCTCGGAACAGGCAATCATTTAACGATATAATCGCACAGGTCACATTGTAGAGTGCAGATCACCTAGTGCTTTATACAATAATAACGTACTTCCACATTATGGGAATTTGCTATAACCCCTCATTGTTGAATATTCGATAATAACGTGGATTTCCCCAACAATATATTTTCATTTTTGCTATCCTCTCCCATGCCGTTGTACATAAGCGGCTTGCCGCGGACATGTCAATACTACTACTACTACTACTACTACTACTACTACTACTACTACTACTACTACTACTACTACTACTACTACTACTACTACTACTACTACTACTACTACTACTACTACTACTACTACTACTACTACTACTACTACTACTACTACTACTACTACTACTACTACTACTACTACTACTACTACTACTACTACTACTACTACTACTACTACTACTACTACTACTACTACTACTACTACTACTACTACTACTACTACTACTACTACTACTACTACTACTACTACTACTACTACTACTACTACTACTACTACTACTACTACTACTACTACTACTACTACTACTACTACTACTACTACTACTACTACTACTACTACTACTACTACTACTACTACTACTACTACTACTACTACTACTACTACTACTACTACTACTACTACTACTACTACTACTACTACTACTACTACTACTACTACTACTACTACTACTACTACTACTACTACTACTACTACTACTACTACTACTACTACTACTACTACTACTACTACTACTACTACTACTACTACTACTACTACTACTACTACTACTACTACTACTACTACTACTACTACTACTACTACTACTACTACTACTACTACTACTACTACTACTACTACTACTACTACTACTACTACTACTACTACTACTACTACTACTACTACTACTACTACTACTACTACTACTACTACTACTACTACTACTACTACTACTACTACTACTACTACTACTACTACTACTACTACTACTACTACTACTACTACTACTACTACTACTACTACTACTACTACTACTACTACTACTACTACTACTACTACTACTACTACTACTACTACTACTACTACTACTACTACTACTACTACTACTACTACTACTACTACTACTACTACTACTACTACTACTACTACTACTACTACTACTACTACTACTACTACTACTACTACTACTACTACTACTACTACTACTACTACTACTACTACTACTACTACTACTACTACTACTACTACTACTACTACTACTACTACTACTACTACTACTACTACTACTACTACTACTACTACTACTACTACTACTACTACTACTACTACTACTACTACTACTACTACTACTACTACTACTACTACTACTACTACTACTACTACTACTACTACTACTACTACTACTACTACTACTACTACTACTACTACTACTACTACTACTACTACTACTACTACTACTACTACTACTACTACTACTACTACTACTACTACTACTACTACTACTACTACTACTACTACTACTACTACTACTACTACTACTACTACTACTACTACTACTACTACTACTACTACTACTACTACTACTACTACTACTACTACTACTACTACTACTACTACTACTACTACTACTACTACTACTACTACTACTACTACTACTACTACTACTACTACTACTACTACTACTACTACTACTACTACTACTACTACTACTACTACTACTACTACTACTACTACTACTACTACTACTACTACTACTACTACTACTACTACTACTACTACTACTACTACTACTACTACTACTACTACTACTACTACTACTACTACTACTACTACTACTACTACTACTACTACTACTACTACTACTACTACTACTACTACTACTACTACTACTACTACTACTACTACTACTACTACTACTACTACTACTACTACTACTACTACTACTACTACTACTACTACTACTACTACTACTACTACTACTACTACTACTACTACTACTACTACTACTACTACTACTACTACTACTACTACTACTACTACTACTACTACTACTACTACTACTACTACTACTACTACTACTACTACTACTACTACTACTACTACTACTACTACTACTACTACTACTACTACTACTACTACTACTACTACTACTACTACTACTACTACTACTACTACTACTACTACTACTACTACTACTACTACTACTACTACTACTACTACTACTACTACTACTACTACTACTACTACTACTACTACTACTACTACTACTACTACTACTACTACTACTACTACTACTACTACTACTACTACTACTACTACTACTACTACTACTACTACTACTACTACTACTACTACTACTACTACTACTACTACTACTACTACTACTACTACTACTACTACTACTACTACTACTACTACTACTACTACTACTACTACTACTACTACTACTACTACTACTACTACTACTACTACTACTACTACTACTACTACTACTACTACTACTACTACTACTACTACTACTACTACTACTACTACTACTACTACTACTACTACTACTACTACTACTACTACTACTACTACTACTACTACTACTACTACTACTACTACTACTACTACTACTACTACTACTACTACTACTACTACTACTACTACTACTACTACTACTACTACTACTACTACTACTACTACTACTACTACTACTACTACTACTACTACTACTACTACTACTACTACTACTACTACTACTACTACTACTACTACTACTACTACTACTACTACTACTACTACTACTACTACTACTACTACTACTACTACTACTACTACTACTACTACTACTACTACTACTACTACTACTACTACTACTACTACTACTACTACTACTACTACTACTACTACTACTACTACTACTACTACTACTACTACTACTACTACTACTACTACTACTACTACTACTACTACTACTACTACTACTACTACTACTACTACTACTACTACTACTACTACTACTACTACTACTACTACTACTACTACTACTACTACTACTACTACTACTACTACTACTACTACTACTACTACTACTACTACTACTACTACTACTACTACTACTACTACTACTACTACTACTACTACTACTACTACTACTACTACTACTACTACTACTACTACTACTACTACTACTACTACTACTACTACTACTACTACTACTACTACTACTACTACTACTACTACTACTACTACTACTACTACTACTACTACTACTACTACTACTACTACTACTACTACTACTACTACTACTACTACTACTACTACTACTACTACTACTACTACTACTACTACTACTACTACTACTACTACTACTACTACTACTACTACTACTACTACTACTACTACTACTACTACTACTACTACTACTACTACTACTACTACTACTACTACTACTACTACTACTACTACTACTACTACTACTACTACTACTACTACTACTACTACTACTACTACTACTACTACTACTACTACTACTACTACTACTACTACTACTACTACTACTACTACTACTACTACTACTACTACTACTACTACTACTACTACTACTACTACTACTACTACTACTACTACTACTACTACTACTACTACTACTACTACTACTACTACTACTACTACTACTACTACTACTACTACTACTACTACTACTACTACTACTACTACTACTACTACTACTACTACTACTACTACTACTACTACTACTACTACTACTACTACTACTACTACTACTACTACTACTACTACTACTACTACTACTACTACTACTACTACTACTACTACTACTACTACTACTACTACTACTACTACTACTACTACTACTACTACTACTACTACTACTACTACTACTACTACTACTACTACTACTACTACTACTACTACTACTACTACTACTACTACTACTACTACTACTACTACTACTACTACTACTACTACTACTACTACTACTACTACTACTACTACTACTACTACTACTACTACTACTACTACTACTACTACTACTACTACTACTACTACTACTACTACTACTACTACTACTACTACTACTACTACTACTACTACTACTACTACTACTACTACTACTACTACTACTACTACTACTACTACTACTACTACTACTACTACTACTACTACTACTACTACTACTACTACTACTACTACTACTACTACTACTACTACTACTACTACTACTACTACTACTACTACTACTACTACTACTACTACTACTACTACTACTACTACTACTACTACTACTACTACTACTACTACTACTACTACTACTACTACTACTACTACTACTACTACTACTACTACTACTACTACTACTACTACTACTACTACTACTACTACTACTACTACTACTACTACTACTACTACTACTACTACTACTACTACTACTACTACTACTACTACTACTACTACTACTACTACTACTACTACTACTACTACTACTACTACTACTACTACTACTACTACTACTACTACTACTACTACTACTACTACTACTACTACTACTACTACTACTACTACTACTACTACTACTACTACTACTACTACTACTACTACTACTACTACTACTACTACTACTACTACTACTACTACTACTACTACTACTACTACTACTACTACTACTACTACTACTACTACTACTACTACTACTACTACTACTACTACTACTACTACTACTACTACTACTACTACTACTACTACTACTACTACTACTACTACTACTACTACTACTACTACTACTACTACTACTACTACTACTACTACTACTACTACT